GGTTCTCCACACAGGCTAGAGAGGGGACAAGGTGCTGTCTGCAAGAGGTTGGTACAGCCTTGTACTTCCCCAAGACCGTTCCTACAGACACAGCTTTGTCCACTTCCCTTGGCCTTTGAGGAGAGACATGTTGGGCCTCCGTGACACCAGTGAGTGGACAAGGAAGTCCAGAGGTAGTATTTGCAGGAATAGTCCACTATCTGTGTAGTCCCTTGAAGAGCTTTCAAAAGGAGGAGGGACTCCATTCTGCTGGGATAGCCAGCCAAAACCTCTTGACTAGGGTCAAATGTGCAGGAAGAAGGATACCATGATCAAAGACCATCTCATGGCTCTCGACCTTAGTGAGCCTTAACTTTCAGGTATGTCCCTCAGGCCATATGCTTGGCCGCTAAAGAAGAGCTGCCCAGAAGCCCTTACCACAGGCAGCAGATTCTGCATGCAGAAGGGGTGCTTTCCATTGCTCTTCCTGTCCACAATGGGAGACTCACGTGCCATGTATGCTGGAAATTTCTTTCCTAGAAGTCACATCTGGAGCCATAGTAATAAATAACAAATCATCTTCACCAGCCTAGAAGTATGAGACCCCTAAAAAAAACGAACCATGAGCGCTAAATGCTTTCAAAGGTCTCCTGGTCACTGTTGCTGCCAGAAGCCTTGCTTATGAGGAATCAGAACCCAGGGATGCCAGAGCGGCACATGTGTCTTGACAGCTTGTATGCTAGCTTGGGAGGTGACAGAAGGTGCTCATGTTCATGAGGGCTTCTTTTCTGCCACTTTTCCCAGTGCTGATTCACTAGTAACTAAAGATGAAAAGCCTGAGCTGTCCTAGAAACAGAGAAGACAGTTATCTACTGCCTTCTGTCTAGAAAGCTCTTCTCCCCACCCACGCTAGGCTGACTGCAGAGATCTGAAGATGGGCTATATGGTAGCTGTCATGGCATCAAAGCTTCTTTGACACTTCTCTGTTTTGCTTTTTCACTTCTCACCAATTTCTTTCTCTGGGTTTTTATTTCCTTCCACCAGTTTTCATGTAATTTTCAGTCTTTCCTTAATGACGTGCAGCTTCAGTCACACTGAAGTTCCAGCCTTGGCTGACCTCGTGCGGATGTGTGCCTGAGACAGCTTTAGCTCCTTTCAGACAAAGCTCCCCTTTTTGAGGTGGGTAGGACATTTGCTTCATCCAGCAGCACCCTTGAGGCCCTTCGGTGTGCTCACAACATCCATGAAATCTCAGATCCCAGACAAATGGGCAGCACGTTGCAAGCTAAACTGGATACCCTTGAAGACTCTGTGAATAAGTTCATGACTCTATCAGTGGTGATGAATAAACTTCAAAAAGGTTTGGGAAGACACCTATTTTGGATGCCTTGTTCAAACCGCAATGCAATCTCTTAGTGGTTTCTCCAAAGTCATGCTTCCCTAGGGCTGTCCTTGTGAGTCTGCATCACCCAGCTGCCTCAGGTTTGTGCTCTTTGACTGCCAACAGGGCATCTTCTTCACCCCACTTCCCAGCACCAGCTTCCCCTGCTTCATCACAGGGAAGGTCAACAGGCCTCGTGTCTGATGGTAGCCCCATGGGCTGGGCTTTCCTTGGGAGCTAGCTGGGCTCCCTGGCATTGAAACGACATTACTAGCGTATCTCCCTTTCCTGTGCTCCAAGATGAACGTCCAAGAATGAGAAAACAGGGTGAATTTTTCAAAGATACTTGCTTGACCAGGGAGTCAAATTTCCAGTCTCAAAAGTGACTTGGATACTGAGAAACTTAAGTGTATGACTAGGGAGTTCAGTGAAGCCTCATGCAGAGCCATGCTCTTAAGTTGTCCCCGAGCAGTTTGAGGTGCACAAATAGCCCAGCACACTCCCACATGGAGGTGTTAGCACAGGTCCCAAAAAACAGATGCTCTGTAGCACAGAAAACAGGTTTGGTCATGGGCAGTGAGGGTGCACCAGCTTTTTTGCTCAGTGCAGACCTACCAAAACTGCAGTGAAAACCAGCAAGAAATCAAGTGCCAAAGCCATGTCAGTCATGCAGTGCCTTCCAAAGCTTTCTTCTGTGAGAGGGACAGCAGGTGAAATGTCCCCTGGACATGAGGCACCCTGCCTTGGAGAACTGGGAAATGCATTCTTTAGGGGAAAGATGAACAGGTTTGGAACTGTGGTGGTGTTGAGATGGAGAAGGACAGTAGATGGGATGGAGAGATTATGCAGCCTTTTATTGGCTATATCTTCTCCTTGGATCATGCTGGATTCAGATGTTTATCGGCAGGTCCCCTGTGGGCATCCAGCATCCGTCACTGAGGCTCAGGCTACCTCTGGAGTACCAGCAGGTTGTCCCACAGGCGGATGGCCTCCTTTAGGAGCCTGTGGCAGTGATGTATCGGTGTGTCAGCAAATGCCTCAGCCTTCCCCCCCTGGGAGTGTTAATGCAGGTGTCCAGGCAGGGATTAGACGTCTATGCACTGGGGGAATGGCACCAGCCACGTCCATCGCCACAGCTGGGAGATCTTTACACCTTGTCCTGCCTTGTGCCCAGCCACCTGCTGCCTCCTCACGTCCTTCCCCAGACCTCAGCTGAATCTCACCTCTCCTGTTTGGAGAGGAGCCCTCCAGCTCGGAGAAGTCTGTATCCTTGCTGGCCTGACAGGTGGGCTGGTGTACCCTTGCTCTGTACAGCTGGTGTGGCTGCTGAGAGCCCCTAGCGCTCCCTCACGTGTCGTGATTCCCACCTGCTGGCCCAGGTCAGTGTATGCCCATGACAAGGGAGAACTATTAAAAATCAAGGTTTTCTGGTCATAATGAATAGGGAAGACTTCTCTAATTTTTACCTCTTCCCCCCAAGGGAATTAAATAGTTGCTGAAAAATCTGTCTGTGTTCCCTTAAGCAAATAGAGAGAAGCAGGAATTCATCTCTCTTCTTGGCTTTTTTTTATTGCCACTGGAGTTGCATATCTGTAACGTGCCATCTAAACATAAATCTGTCAAGAACAACAAATGCAGCCATAGCCCTTGAGCAACAGTACAGAACTAATCTACCAACAAGCTTTGGAACTACAAAGCTTTGGTCATATTAAACATCAAAGCCATCCCTTCCTCATCCTCTTCGCTGTGTCCTCAGACTGGGAGCAGGCGTTAGCGTACCTTTGGGAGGCACGAAAGGGTCAGATCAGCACTGCCCACACCTGGCTGGCTTTAAGCGTGTGGGACCTGGACCAGGACCTGGACCTGGACCTGGACCTGCCCCACTCCACCCCACCATACGCGCAGGTTGGGACAAGTCGTCTGACACTGTGCCAAGGCTGCTCTGGCTGCTTGCTGTCCTTCGCAGTAGACCGGCAGAGAGCTAAGCCATTGACCTCAGGCTTGGGCCTCTGGTCCACATCCTTTTTGCTGAGGTGTCTTTCAGTCCTTTCTTTGGTGACCAGCTGGGGTCTGCCGAACACTGAGGGACAGTGCAATCTTGTGGGTGGCAGCTGAGAGCGAGGAAGGTCTGATGTGTATGAGGCGCAGAGCCTGCAGCCCCGCTTACCCTGGGAAGTTGGAAAACAGATGTTAAGATGCTAGCTATAATGATAAAACCCTCTTAAGCTCAGAGGAGTGAGAGGTTGGTTGGGGAGGGAGGGAGTTGTGGGACGGGCAGGTGAGAGCTGGGACTTCGAGAAAGCTAGGCATAACTTTGAGGGACTATCCAAGGAGGCCGGAAGAAAAGATGTGAAGTGAGGGAGAAAGATAAGTGCTTGGGGGAGAAGCGTTTGACCACCCACAGCTGAGCTCCCATTGCTTCCCAGGTTCACCTGCAGCTGTGGCAG